AACGTTCCAACACGCATAATGTAACGTTCCAACACGCATAACTGGAACGTTCCAACACGCATAACTGCAACGTTTCAACACTCATAACTGTAACGTTCCAACACGCATAACTGTAACGTTTCAACACACATAACTGTTATGTTCCAACACGCATAACTGTAACGTTCCAACACGCATAACTGTTAAGTTCCAACACACATAACTGTAACGTTCCAACACTCATAACTGTAACGTTCCAACACGCATAACTGTAACGTTCCAACGCACATCCTGCGACGCCAGTTTGGTGGCAAGTGTGGCGATTATTAAATGCCAAAATCGCGTACTGCTAACCAGAGAAGATATTTAGTCCAAAAAACTTCCAGTAATACTGAATGTCATCCATACATCTGCTAATGAATAATTTTTTAACATGGATGAGTACAACCTCCATTCATGTATAAGTTTATTATTCTTTAATGCAGGTTTCATTGAAGACCACAGAGTATTTCTTATTGACAATTTTCTTATTGTTTTTCTCTATTCGGCGAACTAGGTTCTTGATAGGAACTGAAAAGTCAACTATTAGGTTTCCCAGAGACATTTTATAATAGTTTTAATTTTACGACGTTTCGAATGCAACTTCATTCATAATCAAGTAGAGGAAGAGTTTTGCAACACTTGAATTTAAAATTTTTTAATGACATTAGTACAAACATTATATATAGGTATTATGGATACAGATTGGAATCAAAGCTTAAATTACGAGTACAGTTTCAACGTCCTGACAAATCCAGTAGTTTGTAAATTAATAGCTGGAGACTCCTGCTTGATGATGAGAGCCTCAGCTATCGTCAGTCTTGTGGCGTCTGGGCATCTCATGATGATTCTGGTGTGGGTCTCNTAGAGCGTAAGTACTTACGTTCACTTAGCGAGTTTTTAAAGTATGGCCCCAGGCCTATTCTTCAGCGCCGACATCACTATGATATGAACACAATATGAAATGAACACAATGAAATAACAATATCAAAGAATACAAAACACAATTAGTAACTCAGTTACGACAGTTACATTGAATGTTCCGTTATATAATAGGAATTGAATTCTATTGAAAACTTAGCAGCTTACCCTTTAGCTGAAGTTTACCCCACGGCGTCGTCTAGAAAATGATTCTAGCTAATGCGCGATTGGCAAATGGTTCTCCCTGGCGTTCTTCTTAAAAAAAATTCAAAATATTTGCTGAGACGATTTAACAAAATAATTCCGACATTTAATAAACTTTTTATCATTCAGGAATTATACGAGTGTTATTCGGGCTCAAAAATTTATGATTAACTTACTGGATATTTTTATAATGGTTTAATATGAAATTGATGAAATCCGGAATAAGCAATCTAGATCAAGATAATTAAGTAAGACATTGTTACAGAGGTCGTTATCACGAGTTTGAAGGTTTAATAAAATTAATTATGACATTCAAGAGAAATACTAGTGCGAGATGTAAATTCGAGTCACTACAGTATACTTCCTGGTACAGTATACGCACTCTCTGAAGCCTGCTTTAAAGAAAAACTTCTGCCAAACTACACCAATAGTTTCTTATTCATGCATGATTCTGTACAATATTCTTGCATAAATTCATGCATACATGAGTTCAACATTCTTCCATACATTGGTCTAACATTCATGCATACATTAATCTAACATTTATCCATACATTAGTCTAACATTCATGCATACATGAGTCTAACATTCATGCTTACATGAGTCTAACATTCATGCCTACATTAGTCAAACATTCGTGCATACACGAGTCTAATATTCATGCATACAGGAGTCTAACATTCATGCGTGCACGAGTCTAACATTCATGCATACAGGAGTATAACATTCATGCGTGCATGAGTCTGACATTCATGCATAAATGAATTTGAAATTCAGTCGGCAAAAGAACCAGCACTGTCCCATTAGCACCGTTTTTAATCAAGCCTCCCCACATGCTAGTAGCACCTTCTTCAGTAGTTCGTTCATCTAAGGCAATCAAATAGAATTTAGATTACTTCAATAACCTGAACTCGAAGCGCACGAAACCAGGTCAATGCACCCTGAAGTTATTTGACGATGAAGTTCGCCTTCATATTGTATTCATTGGCCTTTTGATGAATGACCTAATTTCAAACATTTACTGGCCTGTGAGACCTGCGCTCTGTTAGTCATGTGCCGAGTGGGGCTTAGTTAAGAGTAGTGCATGTCTGGTTGATCTCGGCACTAGGAGTTATTTGCTGATTACTGATTGTTAATAACAGACCAATTTTTGGGTTGATTTTTGTCTGGTGAACGGAAACCGTTTTTATATCATTATAGAGACTGCATCTGTCGTCAACACGGTGCTTTCGAGGTCTATATATGTTGCGTTCCTATCAGTTAGGTGAGATATCTACTAGGGTGCCCCGTTTTTAACTAGAACTAAACAAACCTACGCTCCACTGTTGATGCAATTTTTGAAGTCTATATATAAATATGTAAACGTACAGCACAATTGGCATGGTTACCAGTAGCAGGAACGATTACAGTGTCTATACAAATATTTTCCGCAGTGACGGGTTAACTTCTCAATGCTATCTTTCAGATCGTCAGGTGTAATCATCCACCATCTTCTGGGCAGAGTTTAATTAATTAGGTGAAAAGTTTTAAGATTGTAAGCCGCAGTTAAAGTGAAGTCCATCGCAAAATAATTACAGGGTATACGTATAAGTAAGCAAAATAAGTACATGATGCGTCACCCATGGGTGTCAGGAGGCCTCTGCCTGGCGCTGTATCTCACCCACGCGGCAGCCCTCGGCGACCACGCGTCTTTGTCTGCGAGGTTCTTGGGTGAGTTGTCTACTTGTAGCTTCATTATTGGGCTGCTATGCAATACCCTGTCTTTATTTCAATAATTAATGCCTACTGGGAGCACATTTTGTACAATTTTAATTTTTAAGCTTGTGAGATTAATGTTTACTCATTTATTCTTAGCGTTACCGCCATAAGCGAAAATTTCCTATTATTGTAGATGAAAACACTGAGTTTTGGTGGAAATTAAGTAATATTGAAAAGAAACATAATCGGACTTTCTATTAAAACTACCCACATTGCAACCTGATTGCGGACCGGATCCTAACGTGATTCGCGCAATTGTTAGCCTGCCAATCATGCAGAAACTATAGTTAGACTCACTTATGCGCCTACTCTAGATACGTATTTTATTCTAGTTTGCGGTGTTGCGGTGTTGAATGGGAGAATTAACATTGAGTTAATTCAATGGAGACTGTTAGTCGGTAGGTCTTGGCTGCTTGATTCCTTTAAAGCAGGTACTACTGAATTAATTAATTAAACTGAGAAAAACATTAAAATTACCCAGTCTCTACCCACCCCGTTGGAAGAAAGGAAGTCGACAGACACAGGTACAAATCGACAAATCGTTTGCTTAAATTCGACAAACACAGGTACAAACAATTAGCAAACGAAAATTCACATTGAAGATAATAAAACATAAATGGTCAAATGAAAACAAATAAGAATGAGGTAAACATGAGCAGACAAACTTATCTATATTTACAATTTCGTGGGGATATGAACTGCAGGCGGCATTTAGACTAGGCTTTTGTTTAAAAATATGCAGGGACTCTTAAATTCACAGGGCAGAAAAACCGGTTGTGGAGGCTTGGCATTAACATTCATGCATACATGAGTCTAACATTCATGCATACATGAGTCTAACATTCATGCATACAGGAGTATAACATTCATGCATACACGAGTCTAACATTCATGCATACAGGAGTATAACATTCATGCATACACGAGTCTAACATTCATGCATACATAAGTTTGATATTCAGTCGACAAAAGAACCAGCACAAACTGGTCCCATTAGCACCGTTTTTAATCAAGTCTCCCCACATGCTAGTGGCACCTTCTTCAGTAGTTCGCTCATCTAAGGCAATCAAATAGAGTTCAAATCACTTCAATAACCTGGGCCTATACTTTCAAAAAAGTTAAGAGATCGTAAGTTCATCAGCCAATCATTGACGGCCTTCCAAGCAAAATCCACCAATCATAGACAAGAAAATAGAGCGTAAGTACTCACGTTCACTTAGCGAGTTTTGAAAGTATGGCCCCTGAACTCGAAGCGCACGAGAACAGGTCAATGCACCCTGAAGTTATTTGACGATGAAGTTCGCCTTCATATTGTATTCATTGGCCTTCTGATGAATGGCCTAATTTCAAACATTTACTGGCCTGTGAGACCCGCTCTCTGTTAGTCAAGTGCCGAGTGGGGCTTAGTTAAGAGTAGTGCATGTCTGGTTGATCTCGGCACTAGGAGTTATTTGCTGATTACTGATTGTTAATAACAGACCAATTTTTGGGTTGATTTTTGTCTAGTGAACGGAAGCCGTTCTTAGGTCATTGTCGAGACTGTATCTGTCGTTAACACTGTGCTTTCGAGGTCTACTATAAATGTCGCGTTCCTATCAGTTAGGTGAGATACCTACAAGGGTGCACCGTTTTTAACTAGAACTAAACCAGTGGTAACTTTTTCAGGCTGACTCCCCCTTTGGCTCCCTAGTGAATTTCTAGCGCCCCTCACTGACACATATAAAATCATGCGCCTCTTACTATAAAATTTAGTACGCTGCAATTTTAAAAGATAAAGGTTAAAAACAAATGTGTATTTCACAAATAGAATCCCTTTTAGTGAACTAATATGTTTTTCATCTGTTTTAACTGTTTCAGCATTAGAAACCTAGGACTTCTCGGGCAAATTTACGGCCGGACTCGTGGCCGGTCTCACGACCAATCTCCAAATTCAATTATCAAGTAATATCACCCAAACTAATGAACGCAGCTCAATTGAACTTGGAACATGTATTCCTGTCTCTTATACACATCTAGATGTGTATAAGAGACAGNTGCCGGTATTTTCCCCAACGATGGGTTAACATGTGAATGCTATCTTTCAGATCATCAGCTGTAAAATTGACTGCCATCATCCTCTGTGCAGAGTTTAATTAATTAGGTGAAGAGTTTTAAGATTGTAAGCCGCAGTTAAAGTGAAGTCCATCGCAAAATAATTACAGGGTATACGTATAAGTAAGCAAAATAAGTACATGATGCGTCACCCATGGGTGTCAGGAGGGCTCTGCCTGGCGCTGTATCTCACCCACGCGGCAGCCCTCGGCGACCACGCGTCTTTGTCTGCGAGGTTCTTGGGTGAGTTGCCTACTTGTAGCTTCATTATTGGGCTGCTATGCAATACCCTGTCTTTGTTTCAATGATTAATGCCTACTGGGAGTACATTTGGTACGATTTTAATTTTTAAGCTTGCAAGATGAATGTTTATTCATTGATTATAAGCGTTATTACCAAACACAAAAATTTCCTAATATTGTAGATGAAAACACCGAGTTTTGATAAAAATTAAATGGTATTGAAAAGAAAATAATGAAGGAAGAAAATCAAACTTTCTATTAAAACTACCCACAATGCAACCAGATTGCGGACCGAATCCTTCACATGATTTGCAAAATTGTTGCAATTTAATTAAAACCATTTTTGACTACATTGTAACTACTACACTTGCAATATAATTAAAACCATTTTTGTACATCTATACGCTTGAACAGTAAGTACATTTTCCTATTCCCAGTGATGAAAGATACCAAACTAAATTTGTTACAGCAAATTACAGCTTAACTTGATGGAAGGTAGAACTAAGTTGGACGCATAGCATTGATAACATCAGAGTTTGGATTACGACAGAGCAAGGCTGGATGCAGAGCTTGGATTACGACAGAGCAAGGCTCGGTGCAGAGCTTGGATTACGACAGAGCAAGGCTCGGTGCAGAGCTTGGATTACGACAGAGCAAGGCTGGATGCATTATGACTCGGTGCAAGACGTCACTCGGTTGTTATGTTCATTATCTCGCTGATTTGCTTGTCAAATTACCGAGTAGTAAAATCGTGATTCACTTATTGAATCTTTCTAATGTTAATTCAAATTAATCTCTATAGCTTTAAATCATCTCCTAATTGATGTACTAAGAAATATTTGGGATCATCTACGAAATTCTTCCTCGTAATATGTCACTTCAAATTTTGTTTGAGCTAAAACCTTTAATTTAATGAGTCTTAATTTACGTTGAGTATGATGGTCATCAATACCTGTATTGGCTAAAAAGCAATTCATGCAACGCATTTCAAAAAAATCTTTTCTACGTTACGCACCCTTTATTTATCAGAAATATCGCAGAATAAAGCTTTTCATACCCGAAAATTCGTGCACAACGAAGCCACGTTGGGTACGAAACCAGTAGTAACGAGTCCAACTTGCATGGAGCAGTTCTCCAAACCAATCTACTGCGGGCTACGATTAAAGTACTTAGGTCATCGATCCAGCATTCAGAGTGAACTAAATGACAAATTTTTGAGCATATCAGCTGCTGAAGATTTGCTGCCTACTTTTACGAGCATTTTAACCTCTGACATGCGTAGTTAAGCTTAAGTTATATTACGCGTGTAATTGGCACGGGGACATGAATCACAACGGGTTCTATTTGAGATTAGGCATTACTCGTCTCAGCTTTCATAATTGCTTTGCTAAAATTATGAATTTGGAAATTTATATAAGTCAAAAAATTAGGCCAAAAAAATTTTTTCATTGTTTCAACATTTTAGTTCTAAGAATTGTTTTGGTCTTAACTTTAGGAGTAATATAGTACTAATCCTTGGCATGCATTGGCTTCATCAATTTTGCTGGTCCCTCTCTCCCAGAGCTCCACTTTAATTGCTTAAGCATGCTTGGTATGTGGCAGCTTGACTCACAGCCTATTTTGTACTTCACGCGGCTGATTAGACCTTTACCTAACTGGGAACTACGTAAATACCAGAATAACACTTAATTAACCGCTGAATATTATGATGGTTCGACATACATCTCAGTGTATTCCGAGGCTAAATCTGACGGCTCCAAACAGACTCTAAAATGTAACCAAATTATGTTTGAATTGGCGATGTCACTGACTCACTGATCATTTTCGCCCTTTCCACTATATTGCCAACGTCTAACGCGGGCATGTAATGTTTTCGCTGTTGTTTTTTGTACATCTTATGTAGGGCTGAGTTTTTTTCAAGTTATTAACGCAACTACAATTTGTCCAGTGTGTTATTCAAATAGTTATTTTTAGCAATTCCTCTCGTTTGTGTTTCAACACCTCTCGACATATGTATTTAAAGTCCGGCAGCAACAACTGCTATTTTGATTAGAATTATATGCAAACTTTCGGCTAGCGTGCGGTTTACAATATCAATTATTGTAGATAACAGTCTTTCGCGTGATTAATTTACGTGTTTTAGTATTTGTTCACGGGACTCTAGGGTGGCCTAGTGGTTAAAGTTCAGAGTACCAAGATTGGCGCAGAGAGGTGCGGGTTCGCTCCTAGCTCTGTGCGCCAGTTTCTGGTCAGAATCGGCGAGGAGGCCGGGCGGTTAAGCACAGCAGAATTTTAGCAGCGAGTTGAGAGTTCGAGACCGCAACAAGCTGTGAATGTTCTGTGATGTTAAGAATTGGTGACTGACCAAGGCCTAATAAACGCTGAAACCACTATATTTTATTATTATTTTATTATACCAATATTGGTTGTTATAAAAAGTATTTTATCGTTCTAATACAAATTCCATTGATTGCTATCATCAAATTTCAATTGAACGTACCACCATAGAAATAGGTTCATTCCCGCATGATTCAATCATTCTTGTGATTAATTCGATTTAATACTTTGTAGATGAATCGTTTCACTTGGGATCTTAATAAATCTCAGGCTAGGTAAACTTTGCGTCGGAATTGTTCAATAAGCGAATGAAAATTAATATTGTTGCATGCTTGTCTTTCAATGCTCTAGAAGTACAACGTTATTTCATAATTTCAAAATTTGCAGGAAAAGGAAAGTTCGCGACAGGGAACACGCTACTGACCCAGACGGTCCCTAGCGTGTTGGCCTGCCTGGATTTGTGCCGCGGCTTCACGCTCTGCGTCGGCTTCAGCTACAATGGTGACGTACCGTGAAAAACTCAATGATAAGACATTATTTTCTTTCAAATTATGTGAGTACTTTTATGCCTTTAATTCAATAACGTTAATTAATTAATTAATTTCACAAATTTTTAATTTGTTTACAATATAAGGTCATTTTTAAAATAATAATAGAGCAATCATCACAGTTGCCAAACGCTTCAAAGAGCTGAAAAAAGTCGCTCTAAAAAATTCAGCCGCAATATACATTTGAGAAAATAGCTTTCCTGGTATAAGCTCGCACGTTGCAACGGTTACACAATTTTAATAGATAATTTGCGCAGAAGTGTAATGTTGCGTTAGGTTAATTAACGCGGAACTCTAATTAAATTGAGAGAATTAATTGTGGGCAAATGAGAGTCAATTATGAACTTCCAGCACAACATTGTACCACACTTGATTAGCGAAATATATTGTAGTGTGGGCTTGTAACACCACAATGTGAAGCAATAGCTCTTAGTATTTTTTTAGAATTGCAAAACTAGAATTTAACTATAGTCTATAGTGCTAATGTTCATTGTGTTCCAATACCCGAGCTATGAAAAATATTATATTTTCTAAAAATCATTTAGTAAATACTTCAAAATAATAACAATATAATAACAATTATAACAATTATAACATAATAACATAAAAACATAATTATAATAACAATTAACAATAACAATATAAACAAAATAATAACAATTTTCCCTCAGTAACTTGTAAATAGTAAATAAATTTGCAATTATCACAATTCTAATTATCAAAACCACCAACATTATCTCTTTGTCTGAAATTTAATCAATGTAGTTTCAAATAGTTTGATATTCGAGGCGTCATTGAAGAAAAAGAGCGTTAGTACTAACTTCTTTGCGCGTTGGAAAAAATTCGGTTTCAATTCAATTTCAAATCATCTTCAAGTGGCAAAATTGAAGATGAAAACCACGCTCCGAAGATCGGCTCAGCTCGTTCTTATTGTGAGCTTAACTACAATACTAGAATGATATTTAATCATAGAATTTACGATGTCGTTCCTCTGAAACTTTACAAATTGTATCAGTGATTTATTTGCATTCAACTTCATTTCTATTTAGTTTGATATCATACATATGAATGCTCACATGGAAGATAATTGAAATCCCAATATAAATAAATTTGCTACAACGCCTGCATAGCCATGACAATTTTTCTCATTACTAATGGAAAGGTTTACTGAAAATAAAATCATCTAAATAATTTTTTACGCACAGCATTCAAAAAATGTTTTTTGTTTGTGGAAATTCCATTTGGTAAATTACTGTTGTCGTTTCAATGTGAGTCTTGTCTTTCCTACGTGACATTGCGAGCGAAACGCTTATGGTGTTTAGACTGGCGTATAATCGCGCTCTCGCCTCACTAATGTGAAATGAAAGAATTACGCACAGCATTCAAAAAATGTTTTTTGTTTGTGGAAATTCCATTTGGTAAATTACTGTTGTCGTTTCAATGTGAGTCTTGTCTTTCCTACGTGGCATTGCGAGCGAACGCGTCTGGTGTTTAGACTGGCGTATAATCGCGCTCACGCCTCACTAATGTGAAATGAAAGAAACTATTTAAATTATGATGCACATTTTGATAATATGGGTCCTCATGATCCACTTCTTCATCCCGGCAAAAGGGCGTATCAGTGCTGCGAGCAGAAATAGTAAAATACATCGGGAAAATTGCGCAAATTCATTTTCTCACTGTTTAGACAATTGATCCATTCAATTTTGCGACTGTAGAAATATCCAGGCCAACTGACGTACGATTAAACATGACAGGCCGCGCCTTCTTCGCGTGCGTGGAGACATTTGGCTTACCAATTGAATATTTCATCGACATTAAGATTACTTTCGTTACACTTTTGAGACATGAATTTAACCTATAGAAACTTGAGCATTTGAATGATAAGTTCATGAATAATACGAGGGCTTAACGAGTCCTCAATCATGAGAGGTCAAATAAACGTGGAGTTATAGAATAAACTCTTTCTATATACCTTTCCGCGATTGCTCTGAGCTGCAGGTAATTACAATGCTTATTATTTCATTAGATACTTTGCAGGTCAAATGATAATTATAGCGTTTTTTTGGTCATTCGGAGACGCTAATGGCAAAATTTCGTATAGACAAATTGAAAAAAAGTATCGTTTAAATTTTTTTCGCAATTTCTTTAACGGGGTGACAGAGAAAATGCGTTTAGCAATTAAATTGTTCAACTATTCAGTTGGAAAAATGAAACAATGCTGTAGCCCACCTAATGATTCACGTTGAAGAAAAGTGAAGACTAAAGCGATCCAAAATAGTTTCAAATCATTCGCAAGTTGCCTGAAATAAGTAAAGGACATTTATCTAACGAATCAAGGGCATGTCACAGATTAAATAACTTTCTACTGAAACATCATAACAGAGTGTACAATATAATATAAGGTTATCTTGCTAAATTGAGATTATTCATAGAGAATGGCTTCTTTGATACAACAATTTGTTCGAGGTGAGAGGAGTAGAGCTTCATCCTGCTGAAACTTCTGGAAGTTTCGAAGACCTCTCCACATTATTGGCAATCTTAGACATGGCAAACGCATGGCAAAAGCAGGGTTATAGCAAGGCTTAATAGTGGCTACCGTATGACTTAATCATGGCTAAAATATGGCTACCGTATGGCTTAAACATGGCTAAAGTATGGCTTACGCGCGACAAAAGCACGGCTAATACATGGTTAAAGGATGGCTAACGTATAGCTTAAACATGGTTAAAACACGGCTAAATCATGATTAAAGTATGGCTACCGTATGAGGATAAACTAAAACATGGCTAAAATATGGCTAAAATATGGCTACCGTATGGCTTAAACATGGCTAAATAAAAAATGTGTGCAGGAGTTTCGTGCGAGCTCAGAGACACCGCGTCCATCCTCTCCGCGTCGACAGGTTGGGTCACATACCTCATCACTCAACAGCCTGACCTCCCACTCCTGGTGAGAATCAACGCACTATTTATTTAAAAATTTTGTCATATAAGTAAATCAAAATGTTAGTTGATCAGTTAAAATTATTTTACGAATTTTCCGTCGTACCTAAAACTCGGCCGGCTATATTGGTTCTAGAATTTCCTGGTTTACTTTGCCTGGGGTTAACAAAATTCACAGCGAGACAAAACAAGTCAGGAGACATGAAATAATTTAATTCGGAGTTTTGTCGTCTTTGCTTTGGATAAATAAATGAAAACGAGATCAAATTTGACTAAATTATGAAAATTGTGCGCGGCGCGCAATTTTATGATCAATTTAAATTTTATAAGTAATCAATTATAAAAGGATTTAAATTTCGTTTGTAGTCTAGATTTTATCTTCACTTCCGCAACGAGCGCAATATCCGCAATAGTATCACGGGAAGGAGAACATGAGCAACACGGAATCAAGAGGGTATTCTGTGTTCTTTCAAATGCATTATTACATTTATTTTGAGGCCGATTTGAAAAACAGTTTCAAGAATTTATAAGCACGTGTCTTGATCTAATTATGTTCCTAATTTTCACCCTAATTAAAATATAAAGATAAGACATAGTCCAGTTCGTGCTGGACAAACAAGAGGAACCCGCTAGTACGGACTCCATATGTACAAGCAAATCCATCCTCAAATTGTAAGCACAGATAATACTGTATAGGCGCAGAGGCAGTAGCTTCCTGGTCTCCATCGTCTTGGTCGCGCTGAATTGAACGATTTCTGGCCTGCCGTGTTGAGTCCATCTTCCTTTTTGAAGCCTTTACGATTTCGATGATAGTTATCCAATGTACAATTTATTCACTCTGTGGATGTCGCTGGCTACAAGATTAATTTTCATCTGGAATCAAGTTATCCAATTAAGAAGCACCAACATATTTGTCGTTTTCCTTCATTGAGTGAGATTAGGCCAAGACTACAAGCGAAAGTTAAACGGAAACACGGTCAAGCCCCAGCTCTGTTAGCACTTAGACTGATATCATACCGAAATTCATTGCGTTTGATCATTTTTTCTACGAGTCAGTTATTGGGCATCACTCAATTCTCTACTTATTTTCAGGATTGTTGCTGAAACAATTCTCACTCGTGGCATGTATACGGGCACATTGAAAATCAGTTTATTGAAGGATGTTCGGCCATGTTTCTATTCTATTCATTTGGGCCTTGAGATAAAAAGATATTAAGCTGCTTGAGAACGTGTAAACCCCGCCATATTCATTCAACGAAGTGCCGATTTTGATTCTGCTGCTGACGGATGACGTCAGAGTCACGTCATCAGGTCACTGGTATATGGAATATAGATCAGAAGAAATTATCAATCAAAGTCATAGGAACCTGGCGACGATTTTCTATCGCCAGTAGAACTATGACAATTTTACAATTAATCAATTTTATCAATTAAAACTATTATTGCAATCGTTTTAATGAATTATCATTTCGTTATCGATTACTTTTATTTACCTAAATGAGGCACATCGTCTTTATTATAAGAACAGGCCGTGAAGCGGCTTCCACAGAGTGTTGGCTTAATTAAGGAGGTGATAATGCTCTAATTTTAAAACGCACCCAATCGATTTTGATTAACACATGGATTATGAAGGTGATACTGCCCTAATTTTAAAAGGGCACCCAATTGACCTATAGACTATCACATGGCTTACGAAGGTGTCATGTCAATTGTCACCCAATTGACCCATCCTAGACTATCACGTGGCTTATGAAGGTGATAATCCTCTAATTTTAGCAGTACACCCCAATTGACCTAGACTATCACGTGGCTTATGAAGGTGATAATGCCCTAATTTTAGCAGTACGCCCAGTTGACCCATCCTAGACTATCACGTGCCTTATGAAGATGATAATGCCCTTATTTTAGAAGTACACCCAATTGACCTAGAGTCCTAGACTATCACGTGGCTTATGAAGGTGTAATGGTCTAATTTTAGAGCGCACCCAGTCGATTTTGAGGATCACGTCATCTATGAAGATGTTGCGCTCTAATTTTAAAAAGCACCTAATCGAATTCGACTATCAAGTGCCCTTGAGTTGTCATCCTTATTTGGTGCGCCCCATTTACCTTGACCATCAATTGACTTTTTTCGGGTATTGTAGCCCGCACAGCTTTTGCATCTCGGTCGTGCAGCATTGGTTCGTCACAGAGTACGGTACGACACGGCGTAGAGACGCTGGAAATACATATGGTTATAGTATTATTCTACTGTGTATGATTTAAATTTGAAATAGGAGTGGTTTTTAGCGCATTTTCTCATTAATGGAAAAAATGCACTATTGTGCTCGCCATGTCCGTCTGTCCGTCTGTCTGTCTGTCTATCCGTCTGTCCGTCCGTCACTCCGTGACCTCAAGCTTTCATCGACGAGAATATTCTCACCAGGAGTGGGAGGTCAGGCTGTTGAGTGATGAGGTATGTGACCCAACCTGTCGACGCGGAGAGGATGGACGCGGTGTCTCTGAGCTCGCACGAAACTCCTGCACACATTTGGTCTTTAGCCATGTTTTAGTCATACGGTAGCCATCCTTTAGCCATGATTAAGCCATACGGTAGCCATACTTTAGCCATGATTAAGCCATACGGTAGCCATACTTTAGCCATGTTTAAGCCATACTGTAGCCATACTTTAGCCATGAATAAACCATCCGGTAGCCTTACTTTAGCCATGTTTAAACCATACTGTATTCACGATTAAGCCTTGCTTTAACCCTGTTTTTAATTGCCATGCGTTTGCCATGTCTAAGATTGCCAGTAATGTGGAGAGGTCGTCGAAGCTTCTAGAAGTTTCAGCAGGATAAAGCTCTACTCCTCTCACCTCGAACAAATTGTTGCATCAAAGATTTCACTATGAACTCTAACTCTCTATGAATAATATCAATTTAGCAGTATAACAAGACATTAGATTGCACACTCTGTAACGATGTTTCAGTTGACCGTTACCTTAATCTGTGATTTATTGTTTATTAAACATCCTTCACTTACTTCACGTAACTTGTGATTGATCTGATGCAATTTTAGATCGCTTGAGTCTTCACCATTTATCAACACAAATCATTAGAAGGGCTACAGCATCGTTTCAGTGACCGACTGAACAGTTAAATGCTTTTAATGTTAAATGTGTTTTCTCTGTCCCCCCGTTAAAGAAATTTCAAAGAAAATTTAAACTTTTTTTATAAATTTATTTAACGTATTTTTGCCATTAGCGTCTCCGAATGACCAATGAAACGCTAATTATTATTTGGCCTGCAAAGAATTCAATGAAATAACAAGCATTAATTACACTTGTATTATAAGCTGCTCTGAGCAGTCCCGGAAAGGTATATTAAAAGAGTCTATATTAACTCCACGTGTATTTGACCCATCGTTAAGGTCTCGTTAAACACTCGTTATTATTCATGAACTTATCATCCAAATTCTCAGATTTCTAATGGTTAAATTCATGTCTATAAAGTGTAACGAAAGTAATCTCAACGTCGATGATATATTCAATTGGGAAGCCAAATGTCCCCACGCACACGAAGAAGGCGCGGCCTGTCATGTTTAATCGTACGTCTGTTGGCCTGGATATTTCTACACTCACAAAATTGAATGTATCTATTGTACAAACAGTGACACACTTTCTTCATGAACTTATCTTCCAAATGAGGTTTCTGAAGGTTCAATTTATGTCTCCAGTGTATAACGAAAGTAATATTAAAGTCATTGAAATATTCAATTGTGAAGCCAAATGTCCCCACGCACACGAAGAAGGCGCGGCCTGTCATGTTTAATGGTACGTCTGTTGGCCTGGATATTTCTACACTCACAAAATTGAATGTATCAATTGTACAAACAGTGACACACTATCTGCTCGCTGTACTGATGCGCCCTTTTGCCGGGATGAAGTGAATCATGAGGACCCATACATGAACAAAATGTGCATCATTATTTAGATAGTCTCATTCATTTCACATTAGTGAGGCGTGAGTGCGATTATACGCCAGTCTAAACACCAGACGCGTTCGTTCGCAATGCCACGTAGGAAAGACAAGAATTAGATTGAAAAATGAAATTGCATGGTTTCAGAGTAACGACATCGTAAATTCTATGATTAAATATCAGTCTAGTATAGTAGAAGTTCACATCAATGACGAACTGAGCCGATCTTCGGAGTGTGGTTTTCAACGTCAATTGTGCCAATTGAAGATGAATTGTAATTGAATTTTTTCAACGTGCAAAAGAAAGAGGAATGACGTCTCTTATAATCAATGGCTTCTCGAATATCAAACTATATGTATTATATTTCAGGCTAAGAGAAAATGTTGGTGGCTTTGATAATTAGAATTGTGATAATTGAAAATTTATTTACTATTTACACTTTACTGAGGGCGTAGGAATTATTTTTCTTATTTTGAAGTATTTACTCAAAGATGAAATGAAGAGTAAACTTTTTCTCGACTTATTGGGTATTGTAACACAATATGGCTATTAGCACGATAGTTAAATTCAAATTTTGCAATTCTAAAACCGATCCTACAAACAATTGTTCCACACAGTTTTGTGTAGGAAGCCCACACTCTAATACACTTCGTCACTCTAGTGTGGTACAATATTGCGCTGGAATTAAGTTCAAAATTGACTCTCATTTGCCTACAATTCTCTCAATTTAATTAGAGTTCTGCGTTAACTTAACACAACATCAAACATCTGCGCAGATTTGCTATCTAAATTGAATAACCGTTGCAACGTGAGAGCTTATACCAGAAAACCTATTTTATTAAATGCTTATTGCTGCTGAATTTTTTAGGACGACCTTTTGGCAGCTCTTTGAAGCGTTTGGCAACTGTGATGATTGCGTTCTCATTATTTGTAGAAATGACCTATAATTGTTAAGAAAATATATGTGACTGAGAAGCCGGTGATTAAATTCAAAGTTAAAATTACTAACATAATTTGAAAGAATATAATGTCTTATCATTGAGTTTTTCATGGTAATGGAAATCTATTCATATATAGATCATTTCATGGAAATGACCTATAATTGTTAAGAAAATAAATGTTACTGAGACGCCGGTGATTGAATTCAAGGTACTAACATAATTTGAAAGAAAACAATGTCTTATCATTGAGTTTTCCATGGTACGTCACCATTGTAGCTGAAGCCGACGCAGAGCGTGAAGCCGCGGCACAAATCCAGGCAGGCCATCACGCGAGGGACCGTCTGGGTCAGTAGCGTGTTCCCTGTCGCGAACTTTCCTTCTCCTGCAAATTTTGATATTATAAAATAATGCGTAAATTGAATAACGCTGAACTTGAAATTATGGTATAATGCTTGTATTGAAAGATAAACATTAAATAAGAATAATTTTCATTCGCTTATCAAACAATTCTGACGCAGACTTCAACTAGCCTGATTTCAAACTTCAACATTTTAATTCAGACCCCAAGTAAAACGATTTATCTACAAAGTATTAAATTGAATTTATCACAAGAATGTTTGCATCATGCGAGAATAACAATTCATTATAGTGGTACGTTCAATCGAAATTTTGATGATGGAAATCAATGAAATTTGGTTCTTATAACGATAAAATACTTTTTACAGCAACAAATATTGTTACTGGAGTCCCATGAACAAATTTGTAACACAGATTTTTCGCACGAAAGCCTGTCATCCATAATAATTAATTAATTATTCACTCACATGTTAGCTGAAGGTTTGCATCTAATTTTAATAAAAATAGCAATTAAAGCTGCCGGGCAATAAAGACATTTATCGAGAGGCGTTGAAGAACAAAGAGAGGAATTGCTAAAAACAAGTACTAAAATAACGCGAGAACAAATTGTTGTTGCATTTCTTGAAACTTGAAACAACATCTCAGTCATCTCATAAGATGTACAAAAACCAATAGTGAAAACATTAAGAACCCCCGACAGGCGTTTGCAATTTAGAGAAGATCGAACAAAATCGCTCAGTAACATCGCCAATTCAAACATAATTTAATTACATTTCTGTTTGGAGCCGTCAGATTCAGCCTCGGGGTACACTGAGATGTGTGCCGAACGATAATAATAATCAGCGGCTATTTTTAATAATATTAAGCAGCTATGCCATTTTGGTATTTACTTAGTTCCCAGTCTTAACAGCCGCGTGAAGTACAAAACAAAATATAGGCTGTGAGTCGGGCTGCCGTATACCCAGCCCGCTTAAGCAATTAAAGTGGAGTTCTAGTAGAGTGGGACCAGCATATTTAACGATGTCAATGCATGCTAGGATTATTGATTTATTGCTCCTACAGTCAAGTTCAAAGAAGTTCATAAAACTAAAGTATTGAAACAATGAACAAATTATTTGCACCAATTTTATGAGTTCCCGAAATTTACCGAATTCATAATATTAGAAAGGAATCATGAAAGCTATGACGAGTAATGTATGATCTCGAATAGCACGTGCTTCAACGTAAAAATTAATCTGTTACTAATCAGTAAACAGACAATAACCATTAGCAGTACTCATGCAGACATGAGACATGCAGCACTCTAAACTCAGGCCTACTTGGCTTATAACTAAAAGAAAGTGCGTCTCAGAGGTCACAAAATGTTTGCAAATTGGCTCTCCATCAGAAAGCCAATGAATGCAATATGAAGGCGAAATTCGTCGTCAAATAGAGAAAAACTCTAAGATGAATTGACCTGTTCTCGTGCGCTTCGAGTTCAGGCTAAAGAAGTAATCTAAATTCTACATGATTGCCTTCTTGTAGAATTTTCATAAATTCGACATGATGTGCGAACGATAGAAGAAGGTGCTACTAGCATGTGGGGAGACTTAATTAAAAACTGTGCTAATGGGATCAGTTTGTGCTGGTTCTTTCGTTGACTGAATATCAAACTTATGTATGCATGAATGTTAGACTCGTGTTTGCATGAATGTTAGACTCGTGTTTGCATGAATGTTAGACTCGTGTTTGCATGAATGTTAGACTCGTGTAGTTACCTACAGCTTTTTGGGAGTGAGCTGAGTTTAGTTTTTGCATTATAGGGTAGGCGTTGGCGCCAGGGCTTCTTTACGAGCTAAATTTGTGGTGCAGGGCTGCGCTCCCCGTAGCTAAGATATCGCTGCAACTGTGCAGTCTTCCCGCCGGCTTCAAAACTACGCAGTTTTCCCGTCCACACGCAACGTTTTATCTGCAACGATTAGAACTGCGCATACAAATCGTTGTGTAAAACTGAGCGTGTTTTGAACATCACACACAACTACTACCACTACCACAACTACTACCATCACAACTACTACTACTACTACTACTATCCATCTTATTGCCGTTTACCTCCCGACTGTCCAGCCGTTGGGCCAGTGTTGCCAACTTTTTTTCTCATTGATTTTACCAGATCGCCCAGCTCGATATGCCGGAAATTTACCAATTTTTTTTCTTGTCCAAAACAGATTAATACCCCAAAATTTTTAATGAAACTAATTGTCGTCATCCCGCAAGCACAGCGTCCCTCACTGACTTCTCCCTAAACCATAGCCTCTCCTGATCGCTCGCTAATTTTACCCTAATATTAAAGTCTCTATCTGGCTATAGGGCGTTTGGTACGACCATGTGTTTGACATGAGTTAAACCTTAAGGGTCTCATACCGCACTGCTAGCATTTTTTCGTCTCAAACGATTATCCCGTCATTTAAAAAAGGCTAATACATGGTTATGAAATTACCTTATATAGGTATTAGTGCGGTTCTGCAGCGATATAAGCAAGATTAAAATATGGCGAGGTGCTTGCCTTGAATAGGTTATAAGAGGGTGACACAGTTAAGTCATAATATAGTGAAGATTATAATATAGACTATAATATAGTGAGGAGGTGAACCATAAAATGTTATACTATGGTGATTAAATAATTTTCTACACTCTACAGGTTAATAAACTGCAAAGTTGTCTGTACAATGGACTAGGTGGTATGTGCGAACTATTTCCAGCATCAATTAAAGGCTGAATTTGTCAAGGTGGTCTAATATCAAATTGTCACGTGCAAACGTTCGGACTTGCTGTGGAAAAAGCGCTGCCGGCAAGCGCTTCCTATTAGGTAGGTAGGTTCGCTTCAATGTAGCGTGTGAAATGTTGACTAGAAGCGTGTTGCTTTCGCAAGCAACGTTATTGATATAGTCAATTTGTCCTCTTGTGAANATGTCAGGAATAATCCATTGACACAAAACCACAAATAACTTCGCCTGCAATATTGCAGATTTTGTCGTAGCATTTGGTGACTGGCAACAACAATGAACGAACTCAATAAGTTTCCCTCACCCGCATATAAGATGTTTATCGTCGTGCAGTTGACGTTGGAGCAACGGTCGAAAGCCTCGTAGAAAGGCGCATTCACAGAGCTAATGTCGTAGTTTGGCATGTCCTTGTTCACGTACATCACGAACTGGCAACCTGGCGCACAAAACATTATAAGAACTGAGTAAAGTTTTTGAACAAGAAATTTGCTCACACTTAACTATTGAGCTGATTTTTTTAATTCAAAATATTAAAAAAAATTTTACTTGCAAACTTGCTTATGAAACGAGCAAGCAGTACCAAAACACATACATGTATAATGGTACAGTTTCAGAATTGAAGTTCACAACGCATTTAAAGGTCTCATTTAACATCCAAAAAAGCAATTGCCTTCTCAAACCAACGCAAGATTCTACCTCCTTTTTCTTACCATAAAACGTATCTTATACCACGCCGCTGTAAGATCTTCCCTCAAATACCCTCACATATACTCCTCAATATCTTCACACACCTTATCCAAATACCCATTTCCCATCTGCACAAAGTGCAAAACAATACGCTTAGATTTATCACAAGCACACACTGGAGAAACTTCATATCCTCAAAAACCGCACACGAACAATGTGACATACCCACCATAAACACAGTCCTCTACAACAAGCGCGCAAAACGTAGTCCGCCATCACTACACACGACCTCAGCTTTTCAACAGTCTCGCATTTCTGACGCTTGAAAAGACTTCCAAAATTCCAAAGCTTGAAAAATACTCGCATTAGGTCCCAATTCCATTCCACTCGCATTCCATCCCCATTCCAATTGAAAAATACTCGCATAAGAATTCCATCACCATTCTATCATCCTGCCTCTGGATGAGTGGCATTATTCTCTTTAGCAGACTGTCAAGCAAGACCACTGACAGTCTAGTATAATTGTGGAAGTCTGATGCATTCGCAAATGATAATTCTTTGAAAATGTAATTGTATGAGCTCTTCTTTGCAACAATTTTTTCACCCAAATACGGCGACGCCTACATCTTTTCTTAACATCAGCACACCCGTGAACAATTTTCCAGAGCTCTAACTCTGATATTTCCATCCTCATTGACGTCCAACTGGCAATTAATCTTTAAAACGCGCGGTCTCGAGCTACCCACCCGCGTAGAGAAATAAGTGTGAACGGTTGTGGGCGGTGAGGCGCTGCATCAAACGCCTCACCGCCCATGTCGTTGTCCCTAGTGTAAATGGGCCTTAAGAACTCACCCGGCTGCGAACCAACGAATCTGACCCCTACCAACCTTCCGACTCCCGACTTCCATCATAACCCTCATAAATGAGCAAAAACAATTAAAATAAATAAAAGCGTGATTCTCAGTACATATATATAGACATATTTATCTCTCTGGGGGAACTTGAAGATGTAAAATAAAAGTAAATAGTGATCCACATTCCACCCCTCACTCTACTGAAGACATTAATCAAAGCCCTGACGAGTTTCCATACTCCCCCTCTTAAACACCAACCTAACACCTTGCATCTACAATTACCTAGTGATTTGCTATGCGCCCATTTTCGTCTTCTACTGGCATTTCCGTTCTCCTTCCTTTCCACTCTGTGCCACCGCTCGTTTTTTTTCACTTTACCTAGTGTCACCGCACAGCCACTACCTCTCCGGGCCTATACTTTCAAAATTCGCTAAGTGAACGTAATTACTTACGCTCTATTTTCTTGTCTTTAATTGGCGGATTTTGCTTTAAAGGCCGCCAATGATTGGCTGACGAACTTACGATTTCTTAACTTTTTTGAAAGTATAGGCTGGTCAGCACGAGCATTTGCTTCAGAGGTTATTTAAGCTTCTCTAATATATTGATTCACTCCTATTTTATGTACCAAATAAATTTCTCCAGCACGTCTAGATCTTGAGTTGTAATAAGGTCACATTGAATCATGTGAAATGCTTAGTCAGTGAAAATTTTAATATTTTTATTATATAAAAATGTAAAAGCAAAGAAATCTTCATAAAAATTTTTACTATCTTTATGGAAAACGTATCGGAGTCCAGCTCCATCGTCAGTTTGAAAGTTCTACAACACAAAAAAAATAAGTAATTGCAGTCAAGATTACCTAAATTTCCAAACGGTTAAGACTGTCTATTTAAAATTTCACGTCGGTTAGAGCTGAAAGCTAAATTTAAACTAATCCTCTGTTCTAAACTATACAATGATTCGAAAATACACAAATTATTATTTTCCTTCATTTGAACGTTTATTTAAACATGGACAATGTTGTGGAAGTAAACAAAGCTAACAGCTCGCATTTTCCAATAGATGCGGAGGATATTTTGATTGCCACACAGAAAATCATGCCGAGAATTTCGGTGCCCCGTCACGCGACAGGACATGTTTTGGGCACGACATGTGATTTTCCTGGTAGTCGCGATAATGCACCAATAATCGGAAGACTTTGTGTCGATTTGCTGCACCAATAAACGGAAGACGTTGTGTCAATTTGCTGCACCAATAAACGGAAGACGTTGTGTCAATTTGCTGCACCAATAAACGGAAGACTTTGTGTCGATTTGCTGCACCAATAAACGGAAGACTTTGTCTGCAGCACAACTCAAGTAGAAACTATATTCAAAGATTTCAGCAGCTAATTACTTTATATCTAATTACTTAAAGAACTCTCCCTCCCGCTTCCCTTTAAAGAGACGTCATGAACGTAAATATTAGCGTACAGCGATGGCAGTGGTACCATTGTAAAGAGCAGAATTTCAGCTTTCAGATGAGCACAAAAACCGAAAAACGCCATAATTGAAAATTTTAGGGTAGCCGGTCCCCTTAAACTCGGCCTATATATGTTTGAAAATATACAACGATTCTAAAATGCGGAAATCGGAAACACCTGATTTTTATTACTTTCCTTCATTAGACCGTTTTATTTAAACATGGAAAACGCCGTGGAAGTAAAGAAAATTAACCGCTCGTATTTTCCAATATATGTGGAAGATGTTTTATTGTCACACAGAATATCATACCGAGAATTTCGAATATCGTCTCTTGTATTTTAGTCGCACGTCACGCGACAAGACATGCCTCGGGCACGACATGTTATTTTCCAGGTAGTCGCGATACTGCACCAACCAATAAAGGGAAGACTTTGTGTCGATATGCTGCACCAATAAAGGGAAGACTTTGTGTCGATATGCTGCACCAATAAACGGAAGACTTTGTGTCGATATGCTGCACCAATAAACGGAAGACTTTGTGTCGATATGCTGCACCAATAAACGGAAGACTTTAAGTCGATATGCTGCACCAATAATTTGGGGAACTGAAAGACCGTCATACAGACTCAATTTTGCGCTGTCGATAGAATAACATAGTTCGCTTTCTGAAGTTAACATAACGTATTCTATTGCTATATACGTAGATAACCCTACATTAAATGAAGTAAGGAGATATTCAATTCCCTCATAAAAAGTTAGAAAGTGAATAGTTCTACTTATTTCACTTACAACACAGCAACTGAACAAACTCACGTTTGCCTTGATCACGCTGGGCCAGCAAGAGTGGAGCACTGGAGCAGAAGTAGCCTGGCATGGAGAAGTTGAGGGCCCACTCAGGATGGTACGGCACCTTGGCTGGGATCATGTAGCGTATGCAAGCTTTGGTGGCAGGGCACGGGCTACTGGCACAGGGATCCTGATGAGTGATGAAGAATAAATAGGTAATATATGATGTTCAAAATAACCCGTGGGCGTAGTTTTGTCGGTGATAATTCCAGGTGAGATTTAATGCATTATTTCAGCAAAATGCCGCATGTCTTCCGTTTTACTTTTGTCTGATGGAAAGTTTTTTTTCTGATTTTCGAATTATTCGAACATCGATATCATTCATCACACTGAAATAGGTATTAAAGTCGAATTATTATCCCTTCACATTATTTCCAATGCCGCAATTTTCATGTGTATGTACATGCCACGTGTGAGAATTGTTCCATCCACAATCTTGAAAATAGGTTCATAACTTACTTATTCCCAATAACTAATTCGTAGGAAAAATGGCCAAATGCATTAAATTTCGGTATGAACTCAGCGTATGTGCCTCAGCGGAGCTGATGGCTTGACCGTGGGTCTGTTTGGCTTCCACTACTAGGCTTGGTCTAAGGAAAGGAAAACGACGAATGAAGAATGAACGACGAATGAGAAGGAAAACGACGAATGTCTGTGCTTCTTAATTGAGAAACTTGACTAAGGAGGATAATCAGTCATGTAGGCAGGCAACGACATCAACAGAATGAATAAATTGCTCGAAGGATAACTATCATCAAAATCATAAATGTCTCAAAAGAAAAGACGGCCGAAACACTGCTCGTCAACCATCGTTTAGGACAGTGGGATCAAGACTATGAGAATTGAGGACAGAGCACTACTGCCTCCGCGTATATATAATCGATCTAGCTGTGCTTACAACTTGAGGATGGATTTGCTTGTACATATGGAGACCGTACTAGCGGGATACCAATACCCTTACAATCAGCATGTCAAGCAAGAACCGGACTATGATCTTATCTTTATATTTCAAGGGTCAAAATTAGGAGCATAATTAGATCACAAAATACGTGCATATAAATTTTGAAAGTGTTTTTCAAATCGGACTCATAATAAAATAATAATCAATTTGAATGAACACAAAACACCTTCTTGATTCTGTGATAGTCTCCTTCTTGATGTTCTCCTTCTCACACAACTGATAACATATTTCAGAAAATTGGGGCGCCCGTTGCGGAAGTGAAGACAAAATCGACAAAATCTGGACCCGAAACAAATTTCAAAGACATTTATAATTGATGAAAGTTATTGTAGCAGTTATTTAAATGACTGTATCGATTAAGGTATATGATTTATATTGGATTGCAGTCATAGGCTTATGTGCTCTACCAATCAGTGCCCTTGTTTCCGTAGTCTAAGTAACTAATACGTGGTCTACGTATATAGTAAGTATACGTGGTCTAAGTAACTAATGTACTTCACTTATCTTCTCAAAACCTGCATAGTGACGCAACTCTGGTGTCATCCACAGAGTGAGAGCACAGACCAGTGTAACACGAATAGCTCTTCATTGAATGAAGTTGGCGACCCGCACGATTTTTATAATTTCTTTGCATTTTATCTCGTTTTATATATTAACCAAAAATAAAAACAACCAAACCCTAAATTAAACTTGTTCAATTTATTCTGATTTGTTATGTCCTGCTGTGAATTTTGTTAATCCCAGGCAAAGTAAACCAGGAAATTCTAGAACCAATATAGCCGGCCGAGTTTCAGGTACGACGGTGCATTCGTAAAATAATTTTAACTTACTGACTAACATATTGACTTACTTATGTGATAAAGTTTTTAAAGAAATAGTGCGTTGATTCTCACCAGGAGTGGGAGGTCAGGCTGTTGAGTGATGAGGTATGAGACCCAACCTGTCGACGCGGTGAGGATGGACGCGGTGTCTCTCAGCTCGCACGAAACTCCTGCACACATTTGGTCTTTAGCCATGTTTTAGTCATACTGTAGCCATATTTTAGCCATGTTTTAGTCATACGGTAGCCATATTTTAGCCATGTTTTAGTCATACGGTAGCCATATTTTAGCCATGTTTTAGTCATACGGTAGCCATATTTTAGCTATGTTTAAGTCATACGGTAGCCATATTTTAGCCATGTTTAAGCCATACGGTAGCCATCCTTTAGCCATGTTTTAGCCATACGTTAGCCATCCTTTATCCGTTATTAAGCCGTCTTTTAGCCATGCTCTAGTCGTGCTTCTGCCATACATTAGCCATACTTTAGCCATGATTAAACAATGTTTTAGCCATGCTTATGCCATGTCTAAGATTACCAATAATGTGGAGAGATCGTCTAAAACTTTCAGGGGGGTCGGCAGGATAAAGCTCTACCCCTCTCACCTTAAACCAATTGTTGCATCAACGAACTCTTCTCCATATAGCAGTATAACCAGATATTAGATTGCACATCTCTGTAACAATGCTTCAGTTGAACGTATTTCAATCTGTGACATGTTATTTATTAGATAAATGTCCTTTTCTTGTTTCATGTAACTTGCGATGGATCTGAAACTATTTTGGATTGCTCGAGCCTTCAATATTCTTCAACACAAATTATTAAAAAGGCTACAGCATGGTTTAACTGACCGACTGAAGAGTTCAATGCCCTTATACTTAAACGCGCTTGTCTAGTCGCATTTTTGCCATTATATATATAGCGTCTCCGAAAGACAAATGAAATGCTAATTATCATTTGACCTGCAAAGTATCTAATGAAATAACAAGCATTACACTTGGATTACCTGCTGTTCAGAGA